ATGGTGGTACGTTCCTCTAATCCCAGTACTTTGAAGGCTGAGGCAGAAGGATTGTGGTAAGTTTGAGGCCAGCCTAAACTGCATAGCCAGACCTTGTCTCAAAAAACAAACCAAAGCCAGGGAGATAGCTCAGTAGAACAAGCACTTGCCTGGCAAGCGCAAGGGCCTGAGTTCAATCCCCGGTTACACACACACACACACACACACACACACACACACACAAAGTGGGGGAGTGGGGGTAGCCAGATAGCTCAGCTGACTAAAGGCCTGTTTAGGCAGAGCACAGCTGTTGGGGTTCAATCCCAGGCCTGTGGTGCTGGTCCCACCCCAAGGACATCCTGAGATGGCTATTGAGACTAGGCATGGTGGTGTATGCCTGTAATCCCAGCGCTTGGAAGGCTGCAAACAGGAGGATCACTATGAGTCTGATCTAGGAGTGAGACTCTGTAGACCCTATACTAAATCCATTTAAAAAAAATAATAACTTAAAAAATAAACTAAAATGCTACTTAATTATTTCTTCAAATGCATTGCCTGATATCAGATCATTCAGGATTTCTTCATCTTCTTGGTTCAGCTTTGGTATTTAATATGTATCTAAGAATCTATGTATTTCTTATGATTTTTCTAGTCTACTGGAGTAGAGATTCTCAACATAGTTACTCAATGTGGATTTTAGCACAATCCATTGTGATTTTATTTCCCCTTTTTCATTTCTAATTTTTAAAATTAGGGGTTTTTTTAAACAAGGTTGTTACTGGGTTGCTCCCTATAAAAGTGAGTTTATTCATTGAAAGAATAAGCAAAGTAGACAAACCTGAACCAATCTTATCAAAATAAAGAAAGAAAAGACCCAAGTCCAAGCCAGGCATGGTGACTGATGCTCCTATTTTTTTTTTTAAAGCATTATTAGAGCCACATCTTTTTTTTTTTTTTTTGAGCATCATAGTTCTATTTATTTATTTATTTCCATAATTTTATTGAGAAACAAATAGCAATGAGATAGTTTCAAATCAAATTGGTAGGACAGTTTCAATAATTAACACATTGTTT